GCTTGTTTGTGAGTTTGTGGGTTAGTGGGAGTGTCTCATGGCTTGTTTGTGAGTTTGTGGGTTAGTGGGAGTGTCTCGTGGCTTGTTTGTGAGTTTGTGGGTTAGTGGGAGTGTCTCGTGGCTTGTTTGTGAGTTTGTGGGTTAGTGGGAGTGTCTCGTGGCTTGTTTGTGAGTTTGTGGGTTAGTGGGAGTGTCTCGTGGCTTGTTTGTGAGTTTGTGGGTTAGTGGGAGTGTCTCGTGGCTTGTTTGTGAGTTTGTGGGTTAGTGGGAGTGTCCTCGTGGCTTGTTTGTGAGTTTGTGGGTTAGTGGGAGTGTCTCATGGCTTGTTTGTGAGTTTGTGGGTTAGTGGGAGTGTCTCGTGGCTTGTTTGTGAGTTTGTGGGTTAGTGGTAGTGTCTCGTGGCTTGTTTGTGAGTTTGTGGGTTAGTGGGAGTGTCTCGTGGCTTGTTTGTGAGTTTGTGGGTTAGTGGGAGTGTCTCGTGGCTTGTTTGTGAGTTTGTGGGTTAGTGGGAGTGTCTCGTGGCTTGTTTGTGAGTTTGTGGGTTAGTGGGAGTGTCTCGTGGCTTGTTTGTGAGTTTGTGGGTTAGTGGGAGTGTCTCGTGGCTTGTTTGTGAGTTTGTGGGTTAGTGGGAGTGTCTCGTGCCTTGTGTGAGTTTGTGGGTTAGTGGGAGTGCCTCGTGGCTTGTTTGTGAGTTTGTGGGTTAGTGGGAGTGTCTCGTGGCTTGTTTGTGAGTTTGTTGGTTAGTAGGAGTGTCTCGTGCCTTGTGTGAGTTTGTGGGTTAGTGGGAGTGTCTCGTGGCTTGTTTGTGAGTTTTGTGGGTTAGTAGGAGTGTCTCGTGGCTTGTTTGTGAGTTTGTGGGTTAGTAGGAGTGTCTCGTGGCTTGTTTGTGAGTTTGTGGGTTAGTGGGAGTGTCTCGTGGCTTGTTTGTGAGTTTGTGGGTTAGTGGGAGTGTCTCGTGGCTTGTTTGTGAGTTTTGTGGGTTAGTAGGAGTGTCTCATGCCTTGTGTGAGTTTGTGGGTTAGTGGGAGTGTCTCGTGGCTTGTTTGTGAGTTTGTGGGTTAGTAGGAGTGTCTCGTGGCTTGTTTGTGAGTTTGTGGGTTAGTAGGAGTGTCTCGTGGCTTGTTTGTGAGTTTGTGGGTTAGTAGGAGTGTCTCGTGGCTTGTTTGTGAGTTTGTGGGTTAGTGGGAGTGTCTCGTGGCTTGTTTGTGAGTTTGTGGGTTAGTGGGAGTGTCTCGTGCCTTGTGTGAGTTTGTGGGTTAGTGGGAGTGCCTCGTGGCTTGTTTGTGAGTTTGTGGGTTAGTGGGAGTGTCTCGTGGCTTGTTTGTGAGTTTGTGGGTTAGTAGGAGTGTCTCGTGCCTTGTGTGAGTTTGTGGGTTAGTGGGAGTGTCTCGTGGCTTGTTTGTGAGTTTGTGGGTTAGTAGGAGTGTCTCGTGGCTTGTTTGTGAGTTTGTGGGTTAGTAGGAGTGTCTCGTGGCTTGTTTGTGAGTTTGTGGGTTAGTGGGAGTGTCTCGTGGCTTGTTTGTGAGTTTGTGGGTTAGTGGGAGTGTCTCGTGGCTTGTTTGTGAGTTTGTGGGTTAGTAGGAGTGTCTCGTGGCTTGTTTGTGAGTTTGTGGGTTAGTAGGAGTGTCTCGTGGCTTGTTTGTGAGTTTGTGGGTTAGTAGGAGTGTCTCGTGGCTTTGTTTGTGAGTTTGTGGGTTAGTAGGAGTGTCTCGTGGCTTGTTTGTGAGTTTGTGGGTTAGTAGGAGTGTCTCGTGGCTTGTTTGTGAGTTTGTGGGTTAGTAGGAGTGTCTCGTGGCTTGTTTGTGAGTTTGTGGGTTAGTAGGAGTGTCTCGTGGCTTGTTTGTGAGGTTCGACTTGAAGTTTTCTGGAAACTTATGGGTAAGCAAAATATTACAATAATAACAATATTGATGACCTACAATACTGACTTACAATACTGACTTACAATACTGACTTACAATACTGACTTACAATACTGACTAACAATACTGACTAACAATACTGACTAACAATACTGACTTACAATACTGACTTACAATACTGACTTACAATACTGACTTACAATACTGACTTACAATACTGACTTACAATACTGACTTACAATACTGACTTACAATACTGACTAACAATACTGACTAACAATACTGACTAACAATACTGACTTACAATACTGACTTACAATACTGACTTACAATACTGACTTACAATACTGACTTACAATACTGACTTACAATACTGACTTACAATACTGACTTACAATACTGACTTACAATACTGACTTACAATACTGACTTACAATACTGACTTACAATACTGACTTACAATACTGACTTACAATACTGACTTACAATACTGACTTACAATACTGACTTACAATACTGACTTACAATACTGACTTACAATACTGACTTACAATACTGACTTACAATACTGACTTACAATACTGACTTACAATACTGACTTACAATACTGACTTACAATACTGACTTACAATACTGGCTAACAATACTGACTAACAATACTGACTAACAATACTGACTTACAATATTGACTTACAATACTGACTTACAACACTGACTTACAATACTGACTAACAATATTGACTAACAATACTGACTAACAATACTGACTTACAGTATTGACTTACAATACTGACTAACAATACTGACTAACAATACTGACTTACAATACTGACTTACAATACTGATTTACAATACTGACTAACAGTACTGACTAACAATACTGACCTTCAATATTGACTTACAATACTGACTTACAATACTGACTTACAATACTGACTTACAATACTGACTAACAATACTGGCTAACAATACTGACTAACAATACTGACTTACAATATTGACTTACAATACTGACTTACAATACTGACTTACAATACTGACTTACAATACTAACAATACTGACTAACAATACTGACTGACAATACTGACTTACAATATTGACTTACAATACTGACTTACAATACTGACTAACAATACTGACTAACAATACTGATTAACAATACTGACTTACAATATTGACTTACAATACTGACTTACAATACTGACTTACAATACTGACTTACAATACTGACTAACAATACTGACTAACAATACTGACTAACAATACTGACTTACAATACTGACTTACAATACTGACTTACAATTCTGACTTACAATACTGACTTACAATACTGACTTACAATACTGACTTACAATACTGACTTACAGTACTAACAATACTGACTAACAATACTGACTTACAATACTGACTTACAATACTGACTTACAATTCTGACTTACAATACTGACTTACAATACTGACTTACAATACTGACTTACAATACTGACTAACAATACTGACTAACAATACTGATTAACAATACTGACTTACAATATTGACTTACAATACTGACTTACAATACTGACTTACAATACTGACTTACAATACTGACTAACAATACTGACTAACAATACTGACTAACAATACTGACTTACAATACTGACTTACAATACTGACTTACAATTCTGACTTACAATACTGACTTACAATACTGACTTACAATACTGACTTACAATACTGACTTACAGTACTAACAATACTGACTAACAATACTGACTTACAATACTGACTTACAATACTGACTTACAATTCTGACTTACAATACTGACTTACAATACTGACTTACAATACTGACTTACAATACTGACTTACAATACTGACTTACAATACTGACTTACAGTACTAACAATACTGACTAACAATACTGACTTACAATACTGACTTACAATACTGACAATTTACTAAATAAGACACAATATGGAGCAGCTTGCTGCCCAGTCTTACGTTACATTTAGCTGCAGACTGATCAAGACGCTGGACGCCTCTTAAGGCTGTGGGACTGACCACCTCAAAGCTACTTCCTCAAGACAGTCACATCATCTGTACTTCTCAGTGCTTCTACTATCTCCATTTTCAGTCACCTCTGTATTCGACTGAAGAAGCCTCCCGTGTAGGCGATACGTTTCAAAAATAAGAATACCAAAGTGTTGCACATGTGTCTTATGCATCAACAACTCAAACTATTCACTTCATTAGGGAAAATAGACAGTAGACAGGTGGGTGTAGACGGAGTCAGCTGCGCGTGACACAAGTTCCTTTGGTTTATCAACCAAGTCTTTGATGCCCAAGAAAGTTTTCAGCTCTGATAGAATTTTGTGACTCTGTGAAATTCTTTGCAGCCGTGTTAAGCTCACTAGAATATCTTTTTTATATACGAATGTCGAGTATATTTCTGTCTGTCTTGTCTTCCTGTCTGTCTGTCTGTCTGTCTGTACGTCTGTCTGTACGTCTGTCTCTCTCTCCCTATTTATTTCTGCCTCTCTTTATTTTTGATTATCCACCATCTTTGCTTATATATAATATATATATATATATATATATATATATATATATATATATATAATATATATATATATATATATATATATATATATATATATATATAATATTTTTTTTTTTTCAACACACCGGCCGTATCCCACCGAGGCAGGGTGACCCAAAAAGAAAAACGTAAGTTTCTCATTTTAAATTTAGTAATTTATACAAGAGAAGGGGTTACTACCCCTTGCTCCCGGCATTTTAGTCGCCTCTTACAACACGCATGGCTTACGGAGGAAGAATTGTTCCACTTCCCCACGGAGATATCAGGAAATAAACAAGAAAAAGAACTAGTAAGAAAATAGAAGAAAACCCAGAGGGGGGTATATAAAATAAAATCATATATATAATATATATATATATATATATATATATATATATATATATATATATATATATATATATATTATATATATATATTACAAAACAGAGTATGTCTCTCTGTTAGTGTGTATACACTGAGAATTTCCCTTAGTCAATATTGTCATGTTATTTCTAGCCCTCTAGCAGCTAAGACATCTTAAACTCTAAGAAACCAGATGATATTAAGGGTGTCATACCTCCTTGGGAGACACAAGTAAGTCTTACAGTGTCGCCTTCCTGGTAAGGTCCCAGTATACTGCTGGCGGAGGCGCTGCTGGGGTCGTATTGGAAACCTGCTGGTGCTTCTTCCAGGACTGTGACTCCAGCTGGCGGCACTGTTGACAAGGACTGACTATAATCTCTCAGTAATTACTTCTGTATCTTTTATCTTTTCTCTCTCTTTGCACTTATGCCTACACGTTTCTTTGCTGATTTTAGACTTACTCTGGAATTATTTCTATTTAACTTTGTATCTACACAAGTAGAGGTATTTCTATGTGTCCCGTCTATGTAATTATCATATAGAAAAGGGGCAGCAGCTGATATGATGTATCGAATTTAGCTTAATAGAAAATACAGGTATTGAATCCGTAATATTACTCTTAGTGGCTGTAGCAGTTACGTCTCTTATATTCTATGTTAATGAAAAATTCATAGCTCTATCATCAATATTTGAAGTGGAGCTTTTGTCTGTTATCTAACATTCTATTGTTTAGTAAATATTTGCTGCATGTGTGTGTGTGTGTGTGTGTGTGTGTGTGTGTGTGTGTGTGTGTATGTGTGTACTGCAATACATGTACTGCATTATATCTACTGTATTATATACACTGCATTATATATACTCTGTTATATATGCTCTATCATATATATTGTTTATTCCTTTCCTTTCAGAGGGAATTCAATTAAAAACAGAATCAACCTTCATCTTTCATTCTTTCTTTGGAATCCTAATTTAGATTTCAACAAAATACAAACACAAATACATTTCATTAAGTTGCAACAATGAAATTAATTTTTAGAGCAACTAAATATTAAAAAACAAAGCTTCTAGGTCTACTGGAGAGAAAAATGAGAACAAGTGAGTTGAGGAAGATGCTGTTAGTGAGCCACGTTGGCAAAAATATGTTCCTTAATGTTAGCAACAGAGCGATGCTCCCTTGTTCCAGGGTTGTGTTTCTGCAGTTTCTCTGTTCCAGGGTTGTGTTTCTGCATCTTCATCGTTCCAGGAATGTGTTATTGCAGCTCCCTTGTTCTAGGCTTGTATTCTTGCAGCTCTCTTGTTCTAGGTTTGTGTTCCTGCAGCTCCTTCTTTCCAGGGTTGTGCTCCTGCAGCTCCTCTGTTCCAGGGTTGTGTTTCTGCATCTCCATCGTTCCAGGGATGTGTTCCTGCAGCTCCCTTTTTCTAGGCTTGTGTGCCTGCAACTCCCTCGTTCCTGGGTTATGTTCTTGTAGCTTTCTCATTCCAGCGTTGTGTTACTGCATCTCCCTCGTTCCAAGCTTGCGTTCCTGCAGCTCCCTTGTTTCAGGGTTGTGTTCCTGCAGTTCCCTCATTCTAGAGTTGTGTTCCTGCAGTTCCCTCGTTCCAGGATTGTGTTCCTGCAGCTCCCTCATTCTAGAGATGTGTTCCTGCAGCTCCATTGTTCCAGGGGTGTGTTCCTGCAGCTCCCTCATTCCAGGCTTGTGTTCCTACAGCTCCCTTGTTCCAGGCTTGTACTCCTGCAATTCCTTTGTTCCAAGCTTGTATTCCAGCAATTCCTTTACTGAGCAACAAAATGCAGCTGCACATTTGGCAGAGTTTTCTTTAACACTGCCTGCGGCTGGAATTTTAAATTGCTGCTTAATCCATTAAAAAAAAAATAACCTGCTTCTTTTCCTTCACTGGAGCAGGATCCGAATTTATGGTCCTCTTAATGTTGCAATAGCAACGAGCGAAGTTAATTAATATATAACGATGCTGGAGGTTGAGCGTTTTAAATAAATTTCTTGAGTCTGTCTGCCTTAGGTTACACGTAGATTTCTTCTCTGTTGATGGTGTTATAGTACAAGGATACGCGTGCAACGTTTCGCGAGAGTGAAACGTTGTCACAATGAAATGTCGCATGAGCTGCACTTTTTACCTGTCCCGTGGCCTGGTAAGCATCGTTTTCGCTTCACACTGTGGTTCGATACCCTGCATGAGTGGCAACATTGGTCGTGTTTCTTTACACCTGCTGTCCCTGTTCACCTAGCAAGCAAGTAGGTACCTGGGTATTAGTCGACCGGTGTGGGTGGCATCCCGGGGGACGGTATTGAAGGACCTCAATGGAAATAAGTTAGACAGTCCTCAATAACGCACTGACTTTCTTGGATCATCCTGGGTGGCTAACCTTCCGGGTTTAAAAATCCACCTTTAGCTGGCCTGATCAGTCAGGTTGTTGGTGCTAGCAGCACGCAGTTTAAAGTCGGCTCCTGAGTCTGGTTGATCTTTAAAATATAAAAGAACTGTAAAACACGATTGAGGCGGTAGTAGATGTCATGGCCTAGATTGAGGTTATTAGTTAAGGACTAACTGCTGTTTAGTTGCCTCTAGGTCTGTCTACATAGTTAAAGTTAGAATAGAATAGCAGAAGGCTCTTTCCCCTCCCTCTAATTACTTTGCAGGCTTAAAAAATGATTGAAGGAATTTTTTTGTTTAATTGAAATGAACACTGAAGATTACTAGGGAAATTAATGTGGATAGAGAGAGAGAGAGAGAGAGAGAGAGAGAGAGAGAGAGAGACCACTACCACCACATTACCAACAACAGTGAGGTTGACTCTGGTAGTCCTGGTAGGCTGGAGTCTGAAGTCTACCCTGCAGGTGTAAAGAGCCCCGTCCCCTGGCAGGAGTGAGGTGATCCTTAACACTGCAGACATTTCGCTCACTTCCAGGGCGACCCTAGACCCCACCGTCTCCTCATCAGACCAGTGGGTCTCCTGGTCAGACCTCTCATCCAACCTGAAAGCACGCAGATGGTGGTAGATGAGAGACACTCATCTACTGGACAGTAATGAATGGTAGATGAGTGAGACATATACATTCATTTGACAGTAATGATGAGTAGATGAGTAAGACAGACGTGCATCATACGGATTTCCCCATTAAGAAAATTCAGTCAATTCGGCAAATGGACCAACCCACACTCAACGCCAAAAAAAAAAAAAAAAAAAAAGAACACGCACACTACCCATGCGTATCACGCACATAAATTCCTCATAGAAAAACTAGCGCAAAAAAATGGGGGGGGGGGGGAATTAGATAGGAACCGCATTCAGAAACTAGGAAATTCCATTCTCATCTACTGACAGCCTCTCCTCGTCTATATGTTAAACAGCCGAGGCAGCTTGTCCCCTGTGTTAGTGTACGCACCGGAGCGTAGACCCCCGGAGGCAACAACGCATGGGTGATGGGGACACCCACGCATGATTTCGTTGAGTTAGTGTCCCTTTTTTGAGTAGAAAATGGTATGTTGCGCATGTGCGTTACTCATCATTATCTTTTTGTGTTGATTTTAGCTTGGGACAGTTGTGCCGACGCATGGGTGTATAGGAACGACGCGTGGGTGTATGGGAACGACGCATGGGAGTATGGGAACGACACGTATGTGAATATTAAACGAGGTATGGGTGTGTATGTGGTAGGCTAGGATCTGTGTGTAGTTGCGCACGACCAACGCATGGATGTTAGGACATAGGCATGGATCTGTACGAACGACGTATGAATGTGTAGGACCGACGCATGGATATGTAGGAACGACGCAGGGGTGTGTGAGACTGAACGCATGGCATACGTCGGTCTGGGAGACCGACGTATGGCCGTGTAAAAGCCAACGCCTGTACGTGTTGCTTCCAACGCATGGATATGTTCGATTTAACGCATGAGTGTATGGGCTTCAACGCATGGATTCGTAGGGGACTGACACAGGAATATTGAAATCAACGCATTCGAAAAAAATCGACGCATAGCTATCGGAACTGACGCATGAATATAACGACAGACGCACAGGTATAGAAACAGACGCTAGATTGTAAGAACTGACGCATAAGTTCGGTTTTCTGTGAATTAGCGTAGGTACCGACGCATAGATACCCCAAAGACATATTCTTTCATGGGTGTCTTTCTTAAAGTGAAACAAGCCAGCCAACCTTCATCTGATTTCCTAAAATGAATAATAATAATCATAGTAGTAATAATAATAATAATGATAATAACAATAATAATAATAATAATAATAATAATAATAATAATAATAATAATAATAATAATAATAATAATAATAGCAGTTTTCATTAATCCCTTATTTTAGGTATTAAGGTACTGTCTCCTCTGGTGGTGAAGAGCTTCGGTGTAGCCTGAATGATTATAGTGTAGTCGATAGGCTTTAAACCCCCATTAGCCTAATCCGGCCCCCGATAGCAGTGTACAAAGTTTCGGCAAATGGTTTAAATTTTGGAATTGATGGCAGAGGGGAACGAGTATTTCAATGGCTTAGTTGGTTAATGGGGTTTGAAGCCTATCGACTGTACACTAGGGTCATGAAGGCAGATATAAGAGGGTGTATATTCCGTATTGTTATATATATAAATATATATATATATATATATATATATATATATATATATATATAAATATATATATATATATATATATATATATATATATATATATATATATATATATATATATATATATATATGTCGTGCCGAATATGTAAAACCGGTCAATTAGCAAGAAATCATTTAAAATTAAGTCCTTTCTAAAATTTTCTCTTACACATTTAAAGATATATATTTTTTTTCATTTATGTTAATGTAAAAATTAATAATTTTGTACCAAAAGAATCTTAGAAAACTTACCTGACCTTATTATAACAAGCGCAATTTAATTTAGCCTAATTCAGCTAAATATATTTTAGATAAGTTTACAATAATTTAATAATAAACAAACACAATGAAACATATTTTTTCGATAGGTTCAGAATGGCTTTTGTGAAATTATTGCGTATACAAATTTTCGCTTGCCTTATTCGGCAAGAAGAGCGTTGCCAATTAAACCAAAATCGCAAGTTTTTACCTATTCTGAAGCAGATTTACGTCTTTTCGAAGCACCAACATCCGCACTTAGCAGGGGTAAATTCGTGACGACGTTTCGGTCCGTCCCGGATCACTGTTCATGGCCCAGTACTGGAGGGGTAAACGTCGTCATGAGGTACCTCTCCTAATCTGTTTTTTTTTTTTTGGTGGGGGGGGGGAGGTATTCATGCAGCCACGCTACTGTGGCTTTTTTGTTCTTAATTTCTATTCAAAGTCAGAACAATGATCCCCTGAAAGATAAATCTTTTTGATGCCCTGAAGGCCGCTTATTAAAGGAAAAAATGCATTTCCCTCACCAGATTTTAACAAATTTCCATTTTAAAATTGTTAAAATATCCAATTCAAATTTAACTTCTTTATGTCACATATAAGAGGAAAATATTTAAACGCTAAAATATTATTTGTTATAACTACATATACTCAATGGTTACTTTATTTGGTATACTTTATTTGGGATACCTTTCTAGTAATGGGTAACACCATCCCTTTGCCCCTAGAAGAGAATGAATTCTCTTCTAGGGACTGGAGACATTCCCTACAGATTCTGGCCATTGTTGACAGCAGCATCTGTGTGATAGCACCATACAGTTGCTGCTGATCTGTCAGCTGCACATTCATGTTGTGTATCTCCTGTTTCATCATATCCCAAAAGTTTATGCCAAATTCTTACCCTACCATCCGCATGTCGCAGCAGAAATTGCGGTTCGTTAAACCAGGCGATGTTTTCCCAATTTTTCAGTTGTCCAGTTTTGGTGAGCCAGTGACCACTGTATCCTCAGTTTCCTGTTCTTTGCTGTCACGAGTGGAACCCGGTGTAGTCTTCTCCTACTGTAGCCCATAAACTTCAAGGCTTGACGTGTGGTGCGTTCAGAGATGCTCCTCGGCATATTACTGTTGTAACGCGTAGTTGAAGCAGTCTGGTTATTCTTCTCTGTTCTCCCTCATTATAAAGCGGCTTTCGCCCGCAGAATTGGATGGTTTGCATTTTTCACATCGTTCTCTGTAAACTCTGGAAAATGTTGTGCGTGAAAATCTCAGGAGATCAGCAGTTTTTGAAATACTCAGACCACCTCGTCTGTCTGGCATCAACAAATCAGTTCTCGGTCAAAATCACTTAGATCAAATTTGTTCCCCATTCTGATGTCTAGTCTGAAGAACTACTGAAGCTCTCGAGCATGTCTGCGTGCTGGTAGGCACTGAGGTGCTGCCACGTTAATGGGGCTGATTAGTTATTTGTATTAACGAGCACATGTACTGGTGTACTTAATAAAGTGACCATTGAATGCAATTGGATTTAAAAATAGAGATGAGAGCAATAACCTATGCCGATTAATTTAATGTGAAGAAGACTGACCAGGAGCTATAGCCTGATCCCTGCAGCCACAACTCTCTGAGTATTTATAATTCTACAGTGAAACAATTACTCACGATAGTACGGTGATATCAACACTGTTGACAGCCACTTGCATACCAATCAGGACATATATTTTTAGAACTGATAAGCCGCTCGTGGTGAAACGTTCCCTGTAATGAATGTCCTGAATTATACACAGTGTCCGTTGCCACAGGTACTCACTAAATCCACTCACTGAGAAAAAATAATAATCCTATCCACAGTACCACATAACCACCCAAAAAGACTGCATATTGCTGGCGTTAAGCTCGTAAATGAGCCCCAAGCGTGAATCCTAAGGCGATTTTCACCTTAGCTGCGGACAATCCTTCCTGGGACAAAAGCCTGGCAGCAGTAAGGCTCTCTCAGCACCCTCCTGGGGATGGAATGATCTTCAATGGATGCCAAAAACGTCTGCAGAGAAAAAGAAGTATAAAGGAATTTGCTTCTGCTGGGAGTGTCTGTAGCCTGGGTGGAGACGCGAGAGAGCAGAGCAGGGGATGGAGGATGAAGGGAAGGGAATAGACGAGGACTGGGAAGTGGAGGAGAATTAGTTTTATATTGTATATTTATTTAGGTACAGATACACATAAATACAGTTACACAAATTATCATACATAGTAACATATGTGTAAATTACCTAGGATAACGCCCCTCCCTCTCAAAAAAAAAGTAAGTCAAAGTGACTTATTTCCACTGGGATCCTTGTCTGTTTATTGTAAGAGCAGTAAAAAGGATCTGTCAGTTAGAACGTGAACTGAAGTGGGTAGATACGGTGCTACGTGTTCTTGCCTCTCCTATATTTCTAACGCTTTGATGATTCTATACCGGCTAAGTTATATTAGGTTAGAGGACGTTAGATTATGTTACATTTGGTTAGTTTATGTTAGAGAACTTCATGGCAGGTTAGGTTAGCCCTAGGTGTAAGTGGCGTTAGTAGTTCTTGCATGTATTTTACAAGTTAGCATCTGTTATTCCAAATGTACATGTCAGGGTATGTGTAGAGGTACAAGATGAAAGTAGACCAGGGTTAAAATATGCTGAAAGTATATAAATAAGACGCAATATGTGGTTTATTGCATCTAAAGACGTTTCGTCTACCAGGGACGAAACATCTTCTCAATAACTGACTTAAATCGCATTGTTGCGTGTCTTATTCGGGTACAGGGCGAAGTCGGAATCATCTGAAGGTAGTGATGGATTCCCATCATGTGGTATAATAGATGTCCGCTGTCCTCCACTGAGGCTGCGTCACGTGAGGGACCTTGATAACCTCCGAACTTTAATTAGCACATCTCTATTGCTGAAGACTGGTGGGATGATTGTTAAACAAGGCCGAATCAGGGCACGAGATGAGGCGTCATGTCCAAATTGAAATGAGGGGCAGGTCATCCAAGAACGTTCCATATATGTGTTTCATCTAGACTTTTTTCTGCGAAAGGTGTCTAGAAATTATGATATGCTCCTTTATACAACAATTTTCTTGGCTACCTTGCAGGAAAGGCTTAGTAAATGGTTCATTGTATTTACTGCAAAGTCAAATTCCTTCCCAGGGTAGCAACTTCATCGTCCATTCATTATCACTGCAGGTCCATTGGTAGCATCATGCTCTCCGGGGACTCTCATCCATCACCGTCTGCATTTTCTCAAAAGCAAATATGATCTGGCCTCGCTTGCCCCAAGCATATATATCCAAAAATTGGTTATTCATGTACCTGGGAGGAGTGAAGTGAGGATCTTCTCATTTGTATAAAATGAATATCAGAGTCATTCATCAGTGTTGGAATACGGAAATAGAGAGAAATAGGTCGTTGGAATAAGCGTTGCTTGGCAAGGGATCAAGTACTCTCACTTGTGGCACTCTCTGGCACCTTCATGAGAATATACCAGAGATTCATTGTGTTTGATTTTGTGTCACGAAGCCTCGGTATCACATCCTGCCACGGGCACTTGCTCACACCTCAGTGGTAGCTCCTGAGTTCACAGCTGAAGGTCGTGGTTCAATTCTGACCGGGTAAAGACTTTGGGCAAATCTCCTCATCTCTCTATTGCTCCTGTTGGTCTACTATTAAATAGGCACTTGGGTGGTAGTCGACTCTTACGTTTGACATCCTGGGAAATGATAGTATATTTTAGACTGGGCTTTAAAATAAACTGAGGTTTATTTCGATGAAAAGAAGATAAAATGCCCAGCGTTTAACAACCCTATTAACAAGAGATGGTAAAAAAAAACGCGTTCATTTGGTATAAGATAATTAAAAAATCTTGGCCCATTATCAGCAGTATTTACACTTGTTTGAAATTGTTAGCCAGAAGTTTTTTCCCCTCTGAATTTGAACACCACATTATTCTTCCGGAAAAAAATAGGTATTTGCCTCTTGATACAGTTGGTAGCAGGAATACGTGTTGTTGCTACATATCTGAGTTTGCAGAGGCTGAGCACCAGCTCTTGGTCATGTTACTTAACTCACTAGAAAATGACGTCAAATAACCTTGTATTTTTTTTTTTGGAACCAGTGTATGGAGTACACTGCGAGGTGATGCTTGCTGGTCGACACATGCTGAACCCATGTATGATCCACCTAGTGGTGATACTAGCTGGTCGACACATGTTGAACCCGTGTATGATCCACCTAGTGGTGATACTGGCTGGTCGACACATGTTGAACCCGTGTATGATCCACCTAGTGGTGATACTAGCTGGTCGACACATGTTGAACCCGTGTATGATCCACCTAGTGGTGATACTAGCTGGTCACACATGTTGAACCCGTGTATGATCCACCTAGTGGTGATGCTAGCTGGTCGACACATGTTGAACCCGTGTATGATCCACCTAGTGGTGATGCTAGCTGGTCGACACATGTTGAACCCGTGTATGATCCACCTAGTGGTGATGCTAGCTGGTCAACACATGTTAAACCCGTGTATGATCCACCTAGTGGTGATGCTAGCTGGTCAACACATGTTGAACCCGTGTATGATGCACCTAGTGGTGATGCTAGCTGGTCAACACATGTTGAACCCGTGTATGATCACCTAGTGGTGATGCTAGCTGGTCGACACAGTGTATGGAATTCATTGAGAGGCGGATTCAGCAATTTTACATTCACCCGCTGCATCAGAGTGGCGATCAATACCTACCCCAGAGGCACTGAGGCAAACACAAACAAGACAATATGAATCAGACACCCACTCTACGATACTGTGGCACCAGGAAAGGGGAACAACCCAGTACAGTGGTATACAATGACTATACAATGGAAACAGAGGTACAAAAGCACTGTAATAAGATCCTCTACTGACAAGAAGAATCTCAATACACTGCATTTGCGTTCCTGCTCACAACCCAGTAGCGTTATGCAACTTTTTTCATCAGTGACGAACGGAGGATCGAGCCTGCAAACACCCCTTTTACAAAACCTGGCTTTTGCCACCGAAGCATCCAGTTTACCGCTCATCTCACATCCATCATATGGACGGAAACTACAAAATCCGCACGATTCTGACCACTCAGGTAGTTTGAAGGTCAGAGATCCCTTCCTCCTCCGGGCAGCGATCAGGGGACGGAGGTTCGAGCCTCCATCCAGCCACCAACCTCAATTAACCCCGAAGATAAATCGTATAAAACTTAGACCTTGAAAATAAATGCCCTCAACGAGGCGCTTAAAAATGTGAGAAATCTTACAAATGAGACTTGGGAAGCTTAATGAGACTGTTATAATGAAGCTGTGATGATGCTGATGATAATGATGATGATTATGATGACGAATGTAGTTCTTACCTGTAGATGGGATAGTTCTTGCCTGTAGATGAGATGGCTCTTACCTGTAGATGGGATGGTTCTTACCTGTAGATGGAATGGTTCTTACCTGTAAATAGGTGTGGTGAGAGGTTCTCTGAACCACAACAGGAGGAAGATGGCATCATCTTGAGGGTGTGCCACTTCACAGGGCAGTGCCGCCGACCCTCCAACCACCCCCGTCACTGCCACCACTGGTACTGTCCAGGAGACAAGATACTGTCAGAGTGACGCAAGGTAAGTGCCACTGCTAAGGTGTATTATGGTAAAGAAACCACTCCCACTTTCTAGATGCCTTATAGGGAGAGCACTATAGCCGTATATAACACTAATTTTTAAGGGGTGGAGGGGTAAGCCAGCGGAAGGCCTCGGACAGTTGACCAAAAGCTCCAGCTGTGGATCATCATATAACTAAGACCCGCGTCAGGAAACACCTGTCCTGTTTCCTGACGAATCTTACCTAACCTAACTATAGCGTCAGGTTCGAGGCACCAGGAGTCCTTCACTACCTTTAAGACCCCTTCCTATGATGAAGAAAAATGAGACATATGTACAACAGTTGTGTATCTTGTGAGTGAAACGTCTCGCTTGCAGAGTAGGATTCTTCAGTCAAATACAGAGGCAGCAAGTGTAGCAGCGAAGTATAGATGATTTAATCAGTCCATCAATCTTGGAGAAGTAGTTTTCGAGGGGAGGGGGGTCAGTCCCTCAGGCTGAGAGACTGACCCCCTATTTACCCAAAGTCGATGAACTGAGTACATCACCTTCACTTCCCTGTTACGCCTGTTGCCTCTGTATGTGACTGAAGAAGCCTGCTCTGTAGGCGAAAAGTTTCAATCAACTCGGTGGTATTATACACCATTTTCAATATTCCTATGAACGTCTTACATCGCTAAATCCGTATGGGCAGAATGGCCCATACGGATTTAGCGCTGCATGTCTACATATTACGACAGATCATAAAAAAATAATGCTTGGTCTAGATATAATTATCGAACACATTGTCTCAGTGTTACCTGGACGTTCGTGTTTTCCGCACAGAATTCTGTCGGCTGATTAGGTAACCATTGACGCTAAGACTTTACGATGTACCTCGTAATAATAATAATCTGAGTGAAAAATACCAGTGTAGGTGCAAAACAAACTGAGCCAACGTTCATGGTGCCATAAATACAATTAGAGACCTTTGTCGATGCCAGAGGTCCAAAACTTATGGAACGGGCCAGAAATTTTTAAGAAATATTGTTGGAATGGTTTCTCAGAGAGAGGTCAGGAGGAGTTTAGAGGACGGAGGTGTCGAAGACGCATGACTTCCAGTCATGGCTGTTCTTGTCGCTCAGTCTCGTGATCGTAAGACAGGTAGGCAACTTTTACAAACTTCTACTTTGTTTATCGATACTATTACACACCGACAAGTATGTCAATAAACCTCAAAATGAGGTAATTATCATTTTATACAAAAGACGTTTCGTCAGCCTGGAACTTAATCAATCCTCACCTACATAATTGATGAAGTTCCTGGAGGGTCGAAACGTCTCCTTAATAAGATTAATTGTTTCTTGTTAATATATATTTACTCCCCTGGGATTCCTAAGGGTTACTTTTTCTGTATCCTTCATGAATAAGTTGGACGACGACGTCGCAAAGTTAGGATTCTATTAATCACTGTGTACTATGGCAGCTACCACCGGTACACTGTCTGAAATTCTGGAATCATACGGGTGTTGCAGTAGTAGTGGTAACTGTAGTAGTAGTAGTAGTAGTAGTAGTAGTAGTTATAGTAGTAGTAGTAGTTATATTAGTAGTAGTAGTGGTAGCTGTCGTAGTAATAGTAGTAGCAGTAGCCGCACTAGAATAGTAGCAAGAGTAGTATAGCTATAGTTGTAGTAGTGGTAGCAGCAATAATAGTAGTAGTAATAGTAATACTATTATTTATTTCAGTAGATACAGTTGTAGTTTATGTCTTCCATCCACTTTCAATTTCCTTCATCAACTATCCATTGTGAATTTAGAGCATAAGGTAAAGATTGGTCGCTGTATACAGGAAGCCTCAGTGTAGAGTGCAAAGTCTTCACCACACTGCCTTTACCATATACGATCTAAGGAGCACCTAACAGATAACATCACCAAGATACAAATACAAGATAATCTTGTCATGGATAAACCTTATCTATGTTCTCACAAACACACTTTTTACCATTTCTGTACAATATTGAGGCTGTTCACAGGAAGGTCCTCTACCACAACACGAACCACACTACCCACACCTTCTCTTCACTACCGACACCTCCTCACTACCCACACCTTCTCACTACCCACAGCTCCTCACTACCCACACCTTCTCACTACCCACACCTTCTCACTACCCACACCTCACTACCCACACCTCCTCACTACCCTCACCTCCTCACTACCCACACCTCACTACCCACACCTTCTCACTACCAACACCTCCTCACTACCCACACCTTCTCACTACCCACACTTTCTCCTCACTACCCACGTTTACCCACACACTACTATCATCACCTGCTGACTCAGCAGGTGAGTGAGTGATGATAGCGATAGCTCCTGCAGAAGATATGTGATGAGTGATGATTCTAGTGATTTATACTTGTGATCGAAGGTTGATGATGTAGCCAAGATGAGCATTAAATGTTTAGGGAGAGAAATATGAAGAGAAATGAAAGAGAAAGAAGAATTAAGTGAGATAGAGTGCTGGATAATGAGGAGACGGCATGGCTGGAGGGTGTAAGGATGAATGGAAGGAAGAAGGAAGAAGAAACAGGGGTAAACAAAAATAGGAGTGTGTGTGTGTGTGTGTGTGTGTGTGTGTGTGTGTGTGTGTGTGCGTGTGTGTGTGTGTGTGTGTGTGTGTGTGTGTGTGTGTGTGTGTGTGTGTGTGTGTGTGTGTGTAGCTCAGAGAAAATATTCACCAGAGGCCACAGTTCCAGCCGTAAATCAGGAGAATGGGACTGTCTCTTCCAGCAATCAAGAAAAGGCTGACCCACTGGCAGCCCATTTCACAGCCAAGACAAAAGTCTTTGATCTATGAACAAGGTCTCAGATCTAAGAATAAAGATTCAGATCTAGGAATAAAGTCTCTCATATAGGAACGTGTCAATAAAGCAGGTTAAATAACTGAACACAGGAAACACCAAGAGGCCAGAACACCTGCTGCTATGTGGTAAATATTTTGGTTCTAGAGGAGGAATAAAATACCGTGACAGAAACAGTTCTCAAAATCTATCACTTAGAAAGTTTAATACGACGTTTCTGTCCATTCTGGACAATTATCTAGTCAAACTTGTGTGATAATAATATTATTTATAGTAATAATAATAATAATAATAATAATAATAATAATAATAATAATAATAATAATAAGAAGAAGAAGAAGAAGAAGAAGAAGAAGAAAGAGGAGTGACAGCAAAAATATCAACGACAACATCAACATCATCAACAATAATAGCATTAACACTAACTCTACAACTAGTAAAACTAGCCCCGTTATTATTATTGTTACTACTACTATCACCACTATTACTGCGACTACTACTACTAATACTATTACTACTACTACTACTACTACTACTACCACCATTAATACTGTCACTACTACTACTAGTAGAAGTGCTACTACTAGTAGTAGTACTGCTACTACTGCTACTACTACTACTTCTACTACTACTACTACTAAATTATCCCCCAGATTAATCTTTTATTCTTCTTAGTACTTTCACACTCTTGTGTGAGTTAATAATGGTCCCAAGAAGGACCGAAACGTATTTAGTATTCTCTTCTTAAGTGTGTTTTATTTACGTACTACAGATGGTCGCTCTTAAGTGCAGTTACACTTGGATCTCTGCTCTGAACTGTGGTAATAGGTAAGTAAAGCTGCGTGTCGTGTCTGCTGCTTGATTAATTGATGAAGAATTGAGCCTTCTCCAGTCGATTCGCTACGTGACAGTAGCCGCTGGATCAGGTCACGATCAACTGCACTGTTGCTTATTACTAATGTTCATGCATTCATGTTGATATTAGTTTTTTCAAGAGGACAAGAGAGCGGTGTTAGCCTTCCTTCTAAGGGAGGAAGGAGTGCTAATACTCTTCCCTTCAAGGTAAAGAAGGGGTGGTATTACCGTTCCCTTCAAGGGAAGGGAGGGGTGATATTACCGTTCCCTTCAAGGGAAGGAAGCTGTGATATTACAGTTCCCTTCAAGGTAAAGAAGGGGTGATATTACCGTTCCCTTCAAGGTAAAGAAGGGGTGATATTACCGTTCCCTTCAAGGGAAGGAAGCTGTGATATTACAGTTCCCTTCAAGGGAAGGAAGAGATGCCGTGATGCTGGAGAAGAACATCTCAATCTTCAACCAGACTTGTAAACACGAGTTTTCACAATATTAGTACACAGTAGCGACAAGCTGAGGAATCAAACTCTTGCGAATCATCGAGACACTTAAGTGAAGACATTTAGCCAACCAGTGATTTTCTGAGTTCAGTACAAAGATGGTGAACGAAGACTGTGGTAGATGAGATAATCAGTCCCTCAGCCTTGCAGAACTATAACAACAGGGGAAGATAGGGGGTACAGTCCCTCAATTCCAAAAAGTCACTGCTTAGTGCAACATCGTCCGTCATCATACAAACACAAGTGAGGAGTTGCAAATTCTTCAGTAGAGCAAAAAAAAAAAAAAAAAAAAGAAAAGTTACGGTGGCGGGTCATGATATGACTTAGACCAGTGTCAGGAACACTTGTCATGTTTCCTGACAAACCTTACCTAACCAGGTTAGTAATTCCCCTTATGTATGCTAGGAAGCAGTTGAACAGTTTTGGGTCCCTGACACTTAATGTGTTGTGTGGCATACAAAGAGTACGTAACCTTTATTCGGCGCATGTACACACCCTCATTTACAGGCTATCTCCCCCAACCAGCGAACCAGGTGACTGAGAGTTGATGATGGGGCCCCGTTGTTAAACTAGTGACCAGGTTCCAGCCAATAATAAGATGGTTTTGGCAATCGCAGAGGTTATGTGGGTACCACTCTCCTGTCTGCCTTTGTCATTCCCATTCTAGAGCTGGTTGAAGCACGGTCTGCTCTCTGGTGGCTTCTATTTCTGCCTTGCTTACCGTGGAGTGCACTAATACCTATCACTGTACATAGTGTACATACTGCTGTTCTAAATTGGTGAAGGATA